ATTTCATTTTGTGTTCCCTGTCAAACAAATTTCCTATCATGGCAGATCCCATTATTGATTCATATTTTTTCAGAGGAGTGTTTATGGAAGTGTACATCGATACCTTGCCAGGCATGAGGAAAGAGTTGGAGTAGAATACAGCAGTGCATCCTCTCACACAATTATTCACGCCTGCTCTCCAGCAGTCTCTGAGCTGAATTGTATTCAAGAAAAATGATGCCTTATTCAGATTCAGCAAACTTTATTGAGTACTTTCTATGTGCAAGGCCATAGATTCTAATACCTGTCTGTCAGTTTATCATATTGTGGTGGCTTATGTGTTGCTATGATGCTGGAAGCTATGCCATCAGCAGGGTCACCCATGGTGGATAGGTTTCAGACTAAGGCAGACTAGGTAGAAAGGCCTGATGATCTACTACTTCTGAAAATTAGCCAGTGAAAACTTTATGGATCACAACAGAACATTATCCACCTTGCTTGCTTTGGACATCTATCCAGGGATCAATCACTGGAAAAGGACATCATGTTTTGTGCCGTAGAGGGCCACCAAGAGTGAGGGAGACCCTCAGTGACATGGATTGGCACAATAACCATAACAATGGACTCGAACATGCCAGCGATCATGAGGATGATGCAAGACCATGTAACATTTCATTCTGTTGTACCTAATAAGGTCGCCATGATCAGAGTTGACCTGATGGCAGATTCCTACCTATCTCTAGGCCATAGGCTACTAGCTCAAATGACTACAGAGACAAGACGGGTCATGGAATGAGTGAGGTGGGTGGGTGGGGACTTACCCCATCCATGGGCATAGCTGCCCCCACCTCAAGCCAGTTATTGCTCAGCAGGAATGCAGGCTCAGAGTTACCAAATCTTCTGATTTTTCAATACAAGGCAAGATTTGGGTTTTTGTGTGATATTACCCAGTTTTTAAATGTTGGCAAGGCCCTTTACATTTTTTAGTCTGTGTAAGCCAAACACAACATGTCCTTATGCCAAATTTTGCCTGCTGTGACCCTTGTGCTGAACTTTCTGCTGGTTGCTTTCAGATGTGGTTGCTTCACAGCAGCATTAGATGGATATTTGTCTTGAGTCAGGTTTCCCAGAAGCAGACTCTGCAATGAAGATTCATGTGCAAGTGATTTATGAAGGACGTGCTCCTGGAGAGCCTGGGAAGGGAGTCAGGCCAGGGAAGGAAGCAGGAGTGTGATTGCAGACAGATCTTATGGGGGTAGCTGCAGCTCCATCTTTTAGAGGAATCAGTTAACCAGTTGCCGTGGAGTTGACTCTGACTCCTGACGACCCCATGTGTGTCAGAGTAGAACTATGTCCCATAAGGTTTTCAGTGGCTAATTTTTTGGAAGTAGCTTGCCAGACCATTCTTCTGAAGTGCCTCTGGGTGGACTCAAACCACCAACCTTTGGGTTAGCAGTCAAGTGCATTTACCATTTGTACCACCCAGGGACTCCAGAGTGTAAGTTGCCCCTCAGAATTGTCCTGAGGTTTGGGAGCTGGGCTTTCATACTCCTGCACCCATCAGTCATTAGTGATGGTTCACAAGCAGGCAAAAATGGACTCCAGGACAGTCCTGACAAAAAATAGACACAGGTGCCGGCTGTTGCTCTGGGTGGTGCACACAACAGCAGTGACAGAGGGGCCCTGGCAGAGCACCGGTCATGTCCTCACAGAGATCTGTGACTTCCCCAATGTCCTGCAGGTAATAGAACCACAGGCAGAGCTAGAATTTGAACCCTGATCTTTCTACTCTGTGTGCTCATTGACGCTATTTCCAGCTGCTTCTTAATGAGACCAGTGTGTGGAATTCAGATAATGTTAGACTTTTACTGCTTGGTATGTTGACCCGGATGACTGGCTCTCCTTTCCCCTAGGAGTGCATGGAGAGGGAGCTATTTGAAGAAAACAGGAATGGGTCGATAGGCACTAGAAAGGGGTTCTAGAGCCAGCAACTCCACAGACAGCCTTGAATGGCCAAGAGAGTCTGTGGCAGCTCCCAGGTCTAAGTTCTTTTCACTACATTTGGTGATTGCATACCTGAGATGCCATTTCTGGGCCTATTGGACATGGCTTTCCTGACACAGTGAAGTAGCCCTTTTGAGAAATAGGCCAGCACCTGATATATCTTGCATGATCCAAACCTATAGTATACTTTTTCCTGGGAGAGTTTAAAACTTTTCATGTATTTAATTTAAAGATAAAACAAAAACCAACCAGTTGCCATTGAGTTGATTCCTACTCATGGTGGCCTCATGTATGTGAGAATAGAACTATATAGGGTGTTCATGGCTGTGACCTTTCGAAAACAGATCCGCAGGCCTTTCTTCCAAGACACCTCTGGTGGGTTTGAACAGCCAACATTTTGGTTAGTAGTCACGTGCTTAACAATTTGCTCCACCCAGGGACTCCAATTTAAAGATACACCCTCTAAATTCCAACCCACTTCCCTTGAAAGAAATCCATCAAAGGCAGAGAGAGAAGGCAAAAGCTGCAGTGCCATCTGTTAACTGGATATCTCTGAGGTGTGAGGGTCCCAGAGGCAAATAAGATTATATACTGTTTTAAGTTGAACTCACCACCTCCCTACTTTGTCCTTTTCTCCTGTGTCCTCTGCTGTGGTTATGGCGTGTTATCTTTCAAAACTCTGGGATGGCCAGGATAGCTCCCTCTCCCTCACATCCTAAATCCAGCCAAGACTTCCTTATCAATATCTTTCAAATCTGACCCAGTTTTTCCATTCCCACCACCTCCGACTTTCTTCATGGCCTCTGTATTTTAGAGGAGTGAACTGGTCTTCTTGCCACACTTTACTTCATACTTCCACCCACTAAGTCCAACATTATCTTCTCTAATTACAGACTAGCGCTAGTCAGTCCTGTATTCACAAACCTTTGACAACTCACACTGCTGAGCAGATCAAGTTCAAGTTCCTCCAAGTGGCATCCCAACTCCAGGATATTTTCCCTCTGACTTGTCTTTTCAGCCAAGCCTTGCCCACTCACCACCTCTGTTCCACTTGTCCAAGATACTCATGCCAGCTGGTTTCACCCTCTCCCTCCCACCATTTTGTATATTCATCTGTCAGAGTCCAGTCACTTAACTGATTGTGTGGCCTTGGACTTAGCACTTAACTCTCTAAGTCTCAGGTTCCTCCTTAATAAAATGAGGCTGGCAAATTTCTACACTGTGGGAATTAAATGAGAAAAAGTATGGCAAGTGCCTAGGTCAGTGTGTGACATGTTCTAAGTGCTCAATAAATGGTAGCAGTGACCATAACCATGGTGTATCATCATTGCTATCCATCTTTCAAGGTCCAGCTCAGTTCCCACCTTTCTCCTAGAAGCTTTCCAAGAAATCCCCACATAGAATCAACTCTTTCTTTCTTATATGCCCGTGTTACTATCTCGCCATGTTTGATCATCTGCTGAGCAGAGCCTGGGGCCTCTATTTCTGCATTAAACTGAATTGCTCCAAAGAATTGGGCTACATTTCATTCATTTTAGAGCTACTCACTGTACTTTCAAAAGAGCGAAGGAAATATATGCAACTGTCAGTTGAGTTCAGTTTTTTGGGGATGTGAGAATGGTTCTGGATAAGGCTGTGTGTGTGAGACCTTGAGATGAACGGCTGAGTCAGCAACAGGGAGCCTCTGAGGGAAGGAAGAACAGTAAATTTTTAGGACCCTAAAATGAATCCTAATTCTCCCCATGAACAGTGTAGGCAAAATTTTCTGGGGAGCTTCTTCAGTATGTGGAAAAGGAACATCTTGATGTATTAGTTTCCTAGGACTGCCATAACAAATTATAACAAACTTAGTGTCTTAAAACAACAAATATTTATTGTCTACAGTTGTGCAGGCCAGAAGTCCAAAGTCAAGATGTTAGCAGAGTTGATTCCTTCTGGAGGCTCTGAGGGAGAATCTGTTCCATGTCTCTCTACTAACTTTTGGTAGGTGCCAGCAATCCTTGGCATTCCTTGCCTTGTTAATTACTCCAGTCTCTACCTCCACTTCTACATCACCTTCTTCTCTCCGTGTCTCTGTGACATCACCTCTAGTGATGCGAACATAAAAATACTGAACAAATCAGATCCTCAAAAGAACTGGAGATAGAAATAATTGACGTAGTCATTTAATTTAGAGAAAACAAAGCCATTCTAAGTTGTTATGTAGCATCATTGGGGGTAGACTCCCCATCTAGAAGTCTGTGGCAGGAACCTGAACTCAGCTATGCTTTGTTTAACTGTTACATTTGTTAAGAAACATTTTTACATTAGGACCCACCCTAAATCCAGGATGATCTTATCTTGAGATCCCTAACCTAAAACCCGTTGCCACTGATTTCAACTCATAGCAGCCCTACAGCACAGAGTAGAACTGCCCCAAAAGGTTTCCAAGGAGTGGCTGGTGGATTCAAACTGCCGACCTTTTGGTTAGCAGCCGAGCTCGTAACCACTAGGCCACTAGGGCTCCCACAACCTAAGTACTATTCAAAAACTCTTTTTCCAAATAAGTTCACCTTCACAGGTTCTGGGGGTAAGGACTTGAATATAGATTTTTTGGGGACCACTATTCAACCCACTACATGAGAATAGAGTTTAGCTGAGAGGTTGGTAGCATGATGGAGGTAAGCAGATCCAAGTTCAAATCCCTGTTTGCCCAATGCTGTGGACCCATTCCTTAACCTCTCTGAGACTCAGTATCCTTTTCTGTAAAGTAGGGATAATCACTTCTACCACGTAAGTTGTGAAGATTAGTTAAGAATGTATCTATCTGGCACACAGTAGATTCACAATATAATTCTTACCTATGGCTATTCCCATCATTCATTCATTCATTTAATAAACATTTAAATCTCTGGACATCAAGGCAAAAGAGGCATACCACATGACCCTTAGTCATATCAGCACTTGCAAGGGATTCAGTATTTGTTGAATAAATAAACAAGTGATGATCAGGTCTGAAGTCTATAAAAAGTACTTACTTGTTCCAAGCGCTGAAAGAGGCTTTGGCAATTCTTTTTATACAGCTTCCTGCCTGCAAGACACATGATGATGCCAAACCTTTAAAGGAAGCTTGCTTTTTCGGACTGTTCTTAAAAAAATCCTTAAAGAATATTATTGCACTCTCATTTTGCTTCAGTGGCTTGCATATGTGGCCATTAAAGTGGGTTCTATGGAGAATTCCTATCAAGGAGCAATCCCTCCTTCATGGAATGTCCCAACTAAAAGGAAACTTAGGCCATAGAGCAAAGTGCCAACTCAAATGCCTTGGAGAGTATGCATGTCCTATTTAAGAAGGCAGAGTCTCTGGATGGTGCAAACAGTTAATGTACCCTGCTCTGCTGCTAACAGAAAGGTTGGTAGTTCAAGTCCACCCAGAAGCATCTCAGAAGAAAGGCCTGGTGATCTACTTCCAAAAAATCAGCCATTGAGAACCCTATGGAGCACAGTTCTACTCTGATACACATGGGGTCACCATGAGTCAGAGTTGACTCTAAGGCATCTGGTTATTTAAAGAAAGCAGCTGCTGCTCATTCATTCATTCATTCTACCTGTCCTGCATTGTCCCAAGTGCTGAGCCCACAAGGTGAACATGGCAAAGCCTTGACCTCATGGAGCTTATGTTCTCTGAGGCCAACTCCAGCTCCAGTTGCCACATGGGAATTCAGGCCTATTGCTGCCAAATCATCTGAGCTTTAAAGAGAAGAAGCCAGAATTTTATATGAACTCTGATTTTTAAATGTTGGCAAACAATTCACATTTTTAAAAGAACACTCTGCAGGCCAGACAAAACTTATTTCCCGACTCCATCTGGCCCATAGGCTGCCAATTTGGGACCCCCTGGGGTAGAATCTCATGACCTTTACCTTAAGAAATATTTTCCCAATGTCTAATTTTAAGCTCATTCTCATTTTGCTGACCTTAATTGAAAGCTGCTAATGGTTACTGTTTGTTTTCTGCTCTTCATGGAACTAACAATTCTTAGATGCTCCATCCCTGCATTTTCAAGTTAGCTAACTTCAGTCTGGAGTCTCTGGGTGGCACAAACAGTTAATCTGCTTGGCTGCCAGCAAAAGGTTGGTGGTTTGAGTTCACTCAGAGGCACCTTGGAAGAAAGGCCTAGCAATCTACTTTAGAAAAATGAGCCACTGAAAACTCTATGAAGCACAGTTCTACTCTGACACAAACAGGGTCGCCATGAGTCGGAATTGGCTCCACGGCAACTGGTGTTTTTGGTAACTTCAGTCTGTCAGCTTTTCCTTTCCAATTCCATCTCCACACCTTGGTTTTCCTTTTCTTGCTCTCTCAAGCTTCCAGAAAGGCCATCTGCCCCTCAGCATTTCTCCTCCTGAGGGTCAGAACCTACGCCAAACTCTTAACTAAACTGCTTATAGATTCGAGCCTGCTATCAGCCTTCCTGTCTGACTTTGCCGTCCCAATTTTCACAGCCTCTGAGTTGCATTGACTCTGAACCTTAGGTGTGATATTAATTTCTCTCAGAGGGACGTGGATTTAATAGATTTTTTTAATTAACGTTTTGTAAAATTGGAGCTGTCATGCTTTATGGCAGACTGATACAAATGTCTACAATTAAATTTTTGGTACTACATCTTGGGAATAGCCTGGAAATGTTTGTTTTATCCCCTTCCTAAAACGTCCTGATTTATGGGCAGGCCTCTTCATGCACCTTCCAACAGGCCCAGTTGTCATGACAACACAGAACATCATTTGTCAAAGAGCTATAACTTCATTCTATGTTGAAGCTAAAAATTTAATCTTTTAGGATTTATTTTCATGACAGGGAAATTTTGCATTTCCATAGATATGCTTCTTCTCCCTAATTCTGCTTGTCTTTAGGGAGATCCAGGCTTCAGGTGAAGTTTTTTCTGGAGAATAAGCAAACCTCCCACCTCCCGCTCCCCACTCCATGGAGAGATGAATTCTCTTATCTATTCCAAAGAAAACTCAGATTGACTCAGTTACACTCCCCCCAAAAAACTATGAAATTTCCCCATATGTATCTTTAATTAGGAGTTGCTGGGTTGTGCAAAGAATTAATGCACTTGACTGCTAACCCAAAGGTTAGAAGTTCGAGTCCACCCAGAGGCACCTTGGAAGAAAGGCCTGGTGATCTACTTTCATAAAATCAGCCATTGAAAACCCTGTGGAACACAGTTTTACTCTGACACATGCATTGGAATTGACTTGATGGCAGCTGGTTTGGTTCGGTTTGATCTCTAGCTAAATGACTTGTGTTTCTTTCAAAAATTGAAGTGAAATTTTATTTATTTATTTATTTATTTATTTACTAATAACTAAAGTTCAAAGAAAGCAAGAAATTGGCTGAAAATCTTTTTTAAAGATGGAGAAAAGTGAAATATTTTGTTAGATAATTCTGTGATCTATGATTTGGAGGTTGCAAACTCAGGGCGTGCTGTGGGGCGAGGCACATGTATAAATTAGTTTAGCAGGCCCCAGGGAACTGTGCTGAATGGGAAGCTGTATGTCCTGTCTAAAAAGGAGTCACTTCTCAGTTTCTGCCTCAGTCACTTCTCACTGATGCCATGCCCAAATGTGGTCCCTATTCTGTATGATTGTCTGTTTCATTTTCTTTTTTTTTTAAAGAGAATCCAGAAATTAATATTTTTATATGAAATGTCCTGCTATTAAATTGTTTAAATTTAAATTGTTAAATTGTTAAAAATGTTTCTTAACAAATATAGTAACCAAACAAAGCATAGCTGAGGTCAGTTTCCTGCCACAGACTCCCTAATGTGGCGTCTACCCCAGACAATGCTACACAACAATTTAGAATGGCTTTGTTTTCTCTAAATTAAATGACTATATCAATTATTTTGCTCTCCAGTTATTCTGAGGATCTGATTTGCTCAATATTTGTAAGTTGGCATCACTGGAGGTGACACTATGCTTTGTATCATTTAGTAGCTGTGGTGCTTTGGACTGCGTGTGAGAGAAAGCTCTGGAGAAGGGCTAGTCTCAGACTCCTGCACACACTGCTCTCTGACACACCAAGATCTATGGCGAGGGTCCATCAAGCGCCTTCTGGAATTGTTCATGGATTTGTGATGCTCACTTTTTGTCTCTGATGGATGGGATAGCTTAATCTTCTTCACTGAGCCCCATATTTTTTTTTTCTGAAAAGGGAATTCCTGGGTGGCTGCTTCCTTTCCACAGAGAAAGGATGTTTTTTTTTCCCCCCTCTCACTGGATTTGAAAGTGTAGTTTCTCATCTATCAATGAAGGGAAAACTAGTAATTATTGAGAATAGACCATCACAAACATCTGGGGGCAAGCTGGCCTGCGGCTGCCATCGCTCCAGAATGGGTGTGATTTAGGAAACACGAACTGAAGGGTACACAGCTATCACCTAGCTGGCTTGCAATTAGATTTAAGAAGTTATGGGATTACTGTAGAATTATGCCAAATGTTGAAACTTCACAGTGACCTTAGCAACAGGAGCAGCCGAACTCTTAAAAGAGAGAAAGAATATGTTATAAATAAGCCAGACTATGGAGTAGATATGCTAATATCTGCTCTCAGGTTTTTGTTAGCTGCTGCCAAGTTTGACTTGGTGCTGTGCCATCCCCATGATGGATTTCGGGTTTTCGGGAGTAGATCGCCAGGCCTTTCGGTTACCAGCTGAGCATGTGAACTGGTTGCACCACCCAGGGACTCCAAGTCTTCTCCTAGGGCTAAGGTCTGTGAAAAGGTTCCCAGGAGACCAGGAGAGGCTTACCCGTACTTATCAGGCAGTACTTGAATTGCTTTGCTTATACCAACTCCTTTAATCCTCACTATGGTCCTATGAGGGAGATACTATTATTTCCCCCCCATTTCAGAGAAGGAATCTGAGGCTCAGGGAAGCTAGGTGACTTTCCTAAGGTCATAGTCAGAATTCAGACTTGGCCTCCTGGCTCCAGAGTCTACCCGCTTAACTACTACTGTAAGGGGACAGCAGTGATGGGTGATTTTGGGGTGTAGGATACCAAGAAAATGGGATGTGTGATCAGCACAGGTTATCATGGGATGTAATAAGCTTAGGAGAGTCTCACAGTTCTCCTGTCTCAGTGAACGGGCGAGTAGGGTTAGGTCTTTGACTCAAAACAAGATGATCCTCTAAAAGGGAAAGATATATTAGCTTGAAGTTCTGTCGGAAGTTCCAGAAGTTCTTTCACAGTTCCAGAAAATAAAATTTGCAAACTATTCTTCATGGTAGGACCCGATCGACTCCTACTGAATTCAGAAATTGCATTTGTTGCAGTGGCTGGAAAACACAGTTGTTTTATAAATAGTGAGAGGCATTAGACGTTTTCCTTCCATGCTGACCTTCAAAGCATGGAACTCAATGAACCTTACTACATGTTTTATCTTGTTACCTTTGTTTGCTCTCTCTTTAACTTAAAACGCAGTGAGTTTCATTGATTTTTAGTAAGTTATAGATTTGAGATGGTATATTCAGAATCACAAATTAATTCAGTGCACAAGAATTTGACACCAATACAAAGATGCTGGGCATTTTACAGGGATCAGAGATATGGGCAGGGACGGATTATCCAATTATCAAGGTAAGCACGGGCTTACTTGTGCTTACTTACTAATCTGTAGTGAACAATTTCACATGGGTTTCACCACACCACATCAAAGTGAAACTCATGGGAAATTGTTCACTACAGATTGGTTAGTAAGCACAAGTAAGCCCATGCTTACCTTGCTTACTGAGTCATCCATCCCTGTCAGGGATTGTGAATTTGAAAAGAAGCTTTGATTCTGTAGGAAAGTGCTGTGGGGTTGGGAGAGAGACAGATCTCAGCCATACCTAGAAGCAGAATCTTTGATGTGGTGAAAAAATGTGAAATTCTTCTCTACAGATTAGTAAGCAAGCACAAGTAAGCCTGTGTTTACCTTGCTTATTGGCTAATCCCTCCTGGATATGGAGCATACCTTTGAGAACCTTACATTCTTACAGGAAATTTAAAACAAGTTTGCAAAAGAATATAACGAGGTAGAGTAAGA